AAAAAAGATGAGGTACGAATGAGGTGGCCGCTTGGTGGTTCACTGCTTTTTTAGAATTTAATGAGTGGAGATTGAAGCATTTGTGAAGGCTGCTGCACAATGTCAGCAAGCTTCAATAGTACACACACAGGTTGCGACACACACTCACGGGCCAACAACCGGCCGCACAAAAGCGCCGGGACCCACACGTGCGCTCGCACTACAGATGCCAACAACTTGGTCACGGAAAATAACACACACACACACAGATGATGTGCCTATTTAGGTCAGTGTAAACGTGGGCTGGGTGGTTGTCTGACTGACTAGTAAATAATCTGCATAGGGAGTAAATAAAGGAGACAAAATCAGACAGCAGGCAGCCATGCACAGAGAGACAAGGTAAAAACACACACACACACACACATGACGCTCAGACAAGAGCTTATGATACGCACACTTTTGCTTCATGAACCTGAAACATTACTGCATAAACATTTGCATACCTAAACACGCACACACACACGCACTGAAGGAGAAATTAGGCGGGGAGGATGACTCACTGTGTGTCAAATTCAGTGTGCTCACACGCACTTCAACATTCAAAGACACCCGCGCACATGAGCAATTACCTTGTCATACATCTCGCTATTATATCAGACAAATGCAGATACACTAAGTAGATACACAATCTGCACACATCCTGCACAGACAGACAGACAGACAGAGGTCCAGACCACTGGCGCATATCATGAAGCAGCTCTGCTACAGTGCCGAGGAGACGAAGGGTTTAGAAATGGTTTTAAACCAGTTTCCGTTGTCCGTGGACGTCTTCTCTGATCTATCGTCGCATTAAAGGAGCACATGTCCCCATAGTTGAGATCTACCCATACAAAAGGTGCACCCCGGCACCTCTGGTTCGGAAGAGTGAAGCTGATGAAGTAGTTTTTTAAAACTTGCATTCTCTATACGGACCAGCAGGGGGCGACTCCTCTGGTTGTATAGAAGTCTATGAGAAGATTACTCTAGTCGTTTCTTAATTTATTCCCTGAGTAAACATTGTACACATGGGTTTATGGTCTCAATCTCTAGTTTCAAGTCTTCTTCAATACAGCATGATGTTTATTTAGTACATGATGGTCCATTCACAGTCAAATAGACAATAAAGCAGAGTATGCTATAGGGCGGGCCTACCTCTGATTGACAGGCCGCAACCAGAGCCGTACACGAGGTCCCTTTGCTACTCGTCCGCAGTCCAAACAAGGTAACTTCCATTCACTGGTTGCAAAAAGATGAAGATTGCCAAAATTCAAAAAGTTCCACTACTTTACAATAATGGTTGCTGAGTAGAGCTCAAGATAGAACGCCTAGTTACTCCAAAGCTGCTCCGGTTTATCAAGCACACAAAAAACAGCCGATGAAGACCCCATGTGTTTTACTTGTCTTCTGGTGAATACAAGTTACCAACCTCATCCCCCTGCATCAAGCGTACATGTCTGGATCAATCTGTCCGATGGACACACAATTCGGATATGATCATTTCAACCAATCCCCGATAAGACAGTGAACAAGCCCATGCTTATACCCCAAGACACTAAATGTCCCGGGATAAGTAAACGCATGGTAGTTTCGTGAGTCCAAACATTCATTCCACTTGTTCTCAGTGAATACTTGCAGTTGGAAACTCAACACAGTGACATTTTATGCTCGATAAGAATGTGTGTATGATGTCCAAGGAAGGACGACATAGACAGACAGATATCCAGTGTGTCTGAGGCCTGCGCCCAAGGCAGCAGGCAGCCAGAGGGGCAGGAGGTCCTCGTCTAATAACCCAGAGCTGTCAGTCACTTTATGGATGTGCGAGGGCTCAACATTACTGCAGCTCAATACGGATTGGCTGTGGTCGCAGACCACAGTGCGAGACAGGAGAAGGGGGGGGGGCAGACAGAGTGAGATAAATGGAGTTGGATGGAAAAAGGTGACCACCGAGGGAGAAGCAGGGTGAGAAAAGAGAAGACAGTAGAGGAGGCAGACTGGCGTTGAGACTGACTCTGTGGTATTGTCTCCATGTTTATCCACTGCCTTAAGCGGGGTGTTAGAATATAAGTGAAGAACAGATTACTTTGGTTACAGTTTTTTGTTTTCCTGCTGAGAGGACGTTGCTTCTCGTCTTCCTTTTTTTCTGAAAAAACAGATGGCTGGACGTGATTATTTTTGAATTGGGTTTTCTTTCTCTGAAACCCTGTTACTTTGTGACACACTGCAGATTTCCCACAAAATCCAACCCAGAGCAGCTGCCGCTTGAGTCTTTAAAAGATCTCATCCCTTTTATACACAGTGCTTTTGACATATTATAGTTGTATATTCCGTCGAGCAAGACGGAGGGAGCCAATCGGTAGACGTACTGCTGCTACAAGTACGCCTTGAATATTATTTATTCAATTCTTGCCCGACTTGGACAAAAAGCTAATTACCGGAAATTCTTGAATTCTACCAATTTGTGTCTCAAAGTTGGCAGACAGACAACAGGTCCGACAGGACAGAGAGGAAGGCCAGACACCCATCGTGTGTGTGTGTGTGTGTGTGGTCAGCCTCTGTGGAGCCTCTGTGGGTGAATGAGGTAATCGAGTAGTAGCAAACAAACACGCCAACCTAGACGCCGGTGGTCAATAGCAGTTAACGTAGGTGTTGTTTACCGTGCACACACACAGCCACTGTATTACGTTACACATGTGCTTTGAACAGAGAGGAGGCCGCGCGCTTTGCAGTGATTTCTCCATATCTGCAGTTGCTGACCACACTGGTAATAACAGCAGGTTACAACAGCATCAGACAAGCAGGTGTGTGTGCACATCTGGCTGTGGGTTACTGGCATACCCCTTTAGCAAATGAATCACGTGTCAATGTGCCAGTCACCATGTGTGGCTCCTCGATAAGCTCTCAGAGGGAGACGTCTGACTTGGAGACGCCGTCCCGTTCGGAGTGAAGGTTCTGTCCGGGCGGAACGCGTCACAGCGGGAACCCTCAACTCGGAGCGGCGCAGAGAGAAGACGACAGGCTGTGAAATTCGACGGGAAAATCCGCAGACATGAGAGAGGCTTTTAAATATGTCATCAATCACCTTCAAGGGTTGTATGATGCGTATGAATGTGTTTGGTGTTTGTGTGATGGGGAACAAGCAGGGGAAGGCTTTATTCTGGAGGAAGACACTGCACTGGGATCTGCTTTCTGTGCTTTGATGCTGCATGTTTTATCTCACCGTGTAGACGTAATGATGAGTCCATGTTTGTAGATGTGTGTGTGTGCGTGTGTGTGTGTGTGTGTGTGTGTGTGTGTGTGTGTGTGTGTGTGTGTGTGTGTGTGTCTGCCTACTGTTTTGGTCAATTTAAACTAATTTCAATTGTGAACAAAGTAAGAATACATGTAACAACATAAAGACTATTTCTTTGAGTTAGAATTAAAAACTGCTATGGTTTTTAGCGCCTAACTTAGCCTCAAGCCGCCGGTTAGCCCTATTCTCTCTAACTCCACACTGATTATTTTCTTCTTTGATGTCCCTTGAGGACAAACAACAGAGCTACGATCAGGCCAGGAACATGAGTGCCAACCCTCAATGAACCTGCACTGTTCATATAGACATAGACAAAAAAAGGTCCACCGTTGGGATTGGACTAAACTCCCCTTTCATTCTCATGATGTTATATCACCACCATTTGACCAAGAGTAAACAGATTTCATCTCGTCACCAGGTCCCAGGTCTGTAAGCCCCTCTGTACCTCGCGCTGTTGGAGATTTGCTTGGAGCAGCGGTTCGGCCAATCGAAGGGAAGTTATTTCCCAAAGGAAGAGCTGTATTTGTTCCACAGCCTGCTTTCAACCCCAGTCGCAGTGTAATCACAACCAGCGTGAGTGATTATGTTTTAATGAGTAAAACCGTTGCGCTCAGGTTGACGGAGGTTAATTCTGTGGGCAGCACAGCGCCTGCCATCGCTGTCCTCTCCCCAGTGCGACTAGATTCCCATTTTAATATGGTACAACATCCCACGTGTAGCCTGAGACAAGTTTTGAAAAGACATTTGAAAATGTATTGTATTCAAAAGATGTAAAAACTGACATTATTAAAACTCTACATATCAAAAAAATTGTTGGCACCGACTAGATGCTGCAGGAAACATCAATTCTGTCCACAATCACATGGCAAAAATTCAAATCGTTGGGTTAAATGCAGTCTGACAGAGAAGGAAGGTTGTAGAAATTCAAAGCCATAATTCAATGTATTTTTCTCAATATTGGTAATAATTTGTGGATAAAAATGTCAAAAAACGTTACATGTTAATACCAATCAAAAATGTGGATACTCTTTCTTATTGAATTCATTGAGGAAATTTTACAAACACCACTGTTTGTAAATTATAGAAGAAAATGTTTTCTTTATGTAATGCTAATGGAATTACATGCACATGAAACTATTATTTGTTCTACTATTGTAGAGCCACGATCGTGCTGTTTCCATGGAGTTGGATAAGTTCATTACTGCTGTGAAATAAGGGAAGTGTGATAGTTGATTGGCCAGTTTGTGTTCTGGGGCGGGACCTAAAGGTCAATCACAACACAGCGCTCAGTGCATTCTCCGAACACACTGTCTCAGTGCAGCCATCACTGCCGCACTACCTGAACAGAGGGACCAGCCGATAGCAGCTTATTGGTTGCTGAGTGTCTGCAGATAGAAACTCTTGCATTGCCAAACTCCAAACTCCATCTCTGCCCTAAACAACAGTGTCACCATGACTACGCTGAGGGTTCACTGAACCTTCTAGGGGCGGATCTCGGTCGCAATGGGATACGATCGGACAGACCTTGTGCAAGGCGGCCTGACTCGCATTGAGTTAGGATCCCAGAGTGTCGTGGACACGATTGAGACATTCAATCAAACTCAAAGTCTCAAACACCAAACCCAGATCCCCCTCAAACGGTTCCTCGAGGAAAGCCTCAAAAAAGGTCCTGATTTTTCTGAGTTGTGTTTACCTTTAAAGGCATTTGTGGCCGGTAGGTCAGTTTCCTGCATACTGCTCCTTCCCGCGTTCTGCCAGACTGCTGCCGATGCTTCAATGGATGCCAACGGATGAACCTCAACCGCTCCAAGCCACGGCCGCTGGGGGGAGGGAGGGTGGCCGAGAGGAAGGGGCGGCGCCTGCCGGTCTCACTGCCATCTTTCTTCATCAACAGTCCATGTGCGAGGAGTGAGAGGCCGCCGTCTGTCGAGCTCTGGACCGCCGCGGTTGTCACTCTAGAGCGGCGAGTACGAGCCAGTGGGGACGGCGGACTCGGGCAGCGGGGTGACGGCGCACTGAAGGAGGGCACAGAAGGGGTTTGCGTGGATTTTGAGTCACTCATCCGGGTTCGGAGAGGACGGACGAAGGTGGAGGAAGTTGCGGCGGGGGTGGATGCTTGATCCCTTTCCTCCCACCTTTGCCGTAAGCATGAATTTTTGGCCCTTACCTGTAATCTATATATCTCTCCGTCTGCCTCTCATGAACTCTGCTCTAATCAACACGCCGTGTCCTCTGACTCTCTGGGCTCTTTCACTGGCGTGGTGGCGGGGGCTTTCCTCTTTCACTCCTCTTGTGTCTTTTGTGCCGGTGCAGTCCCGAGCTCAGCACAAGGCTCCCTGCGGCACCGCAGCTGGAGAGAGAAGGAGAAAAAAAAAAAGGGGGAGAAGCTCAATGAATAAAAGCATGAGATACGCAAAACACCAGGCGAGATGGAGAGATGGTTAGATACAGCCGGGCAAACGCACATGACAGGGCCGGTGGCTGGTCTGCAATGACAAGTGCACAGAAACACAATATCCACACACACACACACAAAAAGCAGAGGACAGCAGGTGGGTGGCTGGCTGGCTGGCATGGCCCCCATTAGTTCCTCTCTCACCCACTAGGTTCATACATGAAAGGGGAAGATTTCTTTTGGTTTTTGTTCCTCAGAGCCAAGTGCTGCCTCCCTGTTTCACAGAGCCACGCGCCACTTCTGAAGTCTGCCTGATAAACAGGGCTGGAGGAGGCGGCGGCTCAGGAACCAACAAAAACTTCATTTACAACCCAAAAGTGCCTTTTTTTTGACTGGGGATCATGAATAGAAGCAGAGCGGAGGGGGATGCGGGGATCGGGGAGGAAGGCAGGTCTTTAATAAAAGCGTTCTCTTTTTGATGTCACAGAGAACCTACGAGATGAAACAAAGGTGTAGGAGACGTAGATCACACAGAGGTATGAAACGTGGCGCAGAGAGAAAGAAACAGAACAAACCAGACAAACATCCTGAAGGAAGAGGAAAATACAACAAACGCTACCAGAAAGAGAACAATGAATTGTAAAGGAGGGGTGGGGGGTTGTTAGGGAAAGTAACAACGGGAGGAGGACGGTAGGAATTTGTTTGTGTAAAACCAGCAGACAGTAAACAAACACACGCCCTGTCTGAGGCTTCGGAGAGGCTCGACAGATCTCAGTCAGCTACTCTTATCTCTGCAGCATTTGCCCATTCTTATCGAGTCTTATCGCATTGAGAACACATGGCATCTCGTACCCTGCCGAACAGAAAAGCAAAGGCAAGAGCTTGGGCTGCCGTGACATACGGCAGAGGGATGTTTACCTCATTGTGTGCCCTACCAATGATTCATCATTTTGCCTGCTCCTGACAAATCCATTGCAGTCTTTGCTAAAGTCTGCCGCGTATGAAATGGATTTGAAATGACTTTTTGGGAGGGAAGGCGAGGAGAGGAGAGAAAATTAACCAAAATTGAAGGCAAGGAAAGAAAAGGGAACAAGAGGAAAGGAGACTGTCATACTTGGACTAATTGATTATAGCAGAATCATCACAGATTAAAGGCTGTATTTCATTTCGAGAGGAATACGTGCAAAGAGAAGTTTGATGATGCAGCAGTTTTTTTGGCGCTATCAGGACCGTCTGTCTTCAAAGAGTCATGACAAGTGATTTTATGCGTAAAAGATTGGATGCTGAGCTGTATCAGAAGAAACACTCATCCTCTGGGTTGTGTTGATGTCAGCGGTGCTGTACTGTTGTGATGTGGGAAATACAACAACCACCAACTTCATTGTCATTCACCAAACTTTCATGAGGAAACAATGGTTGCTTAAGAAGGACTGTTCATCTCCTCCTGGATTGGACATCTTCAAATCCAAAAGGACACGTTGTATACAGACGTCACTGTGAGCAGCTTTAAGCAATACAAAACATTTTCTTTTAATAATGCGTTAATAGAACCCGACCATTCGGGATTTGGGGTTTAAAAAAAGCAATTCCTACGAAAACATCTGAACTGTAGTTTGGACTGTATGTATTTGTATGTATGTAAGGAAAATAAATCCCTTTCCATCCTAGTTGGGAATAAAATAGACAGTTTCTTTGAGTTTGGGACATTCAGAGAGAACATAAATGACAAAAGCCATGGGACTTTAATGTTTTACTTTTATACTCTTTTGTGATAATGCATGTTTTAGATAAAGGAATAAAGTGTGGGGGGGGGGGGGGGGGGGGCACCCACACATTTTAAAACACTAGCTAACTTTTGTCCCCCAAAATGGGGATACAATTTTGGAGAAGACTATATATTCATGTTTTCCAGGCTTGGACAAATGAAGAAAATATATTATTTATATTATATTTATATTAATACTTGAACATATATGACCATATCAATACATAGTGTAAAGTAAGTACAACGAATGCAATAACCAAGCGGATATGCATATCTCGCATTGATGCAAAAACCCATAGAGAATTGGCCAAAAACGTTTCAAGAAACCGCAGAGCAAAAAGCCACTGCAGAATCAACTCTGACATCTATACACAAATAGAGTCACATCAATTAAAGGAGCCATTATTTCAGCTGTTAGGTACCAAAAGCATTTGAACACCTTGTCAAGGACCTGAAACCACTCGGAACTTCAAAAATAAATAAAATGGGGACAGCCGAAAACCATGATGCAATGGCCAAAAGGCAAACTGAAGGCTTCAAAACCTTTGTCAGTGTGACTCCGTCCACTTCTAATATAGTCTGTGATTACACACCTACGGACCAGCAGCTGATAAAAGTAAACTATTGATAGTGAAAGTTATCGGGCAAAAGTCACAGAATTGATTAACCTAATTTTCCAACTTAGTAAGTAAAGCACAGCAGAAGCAAGAAGCAGGGATTAAAAAGGCTTTTTTTAAACATCGTGTGCATATTTCCAGTTACTGATAATGTCTGTACTGTATCGTGTCCATTAAATCTGAATCACTCTTTTCCGGTGGAGAAATGAAAACATCATATGCTCTATTCAGGAGTCCCCAAGTACGGACTATATCTGATTCTATTATATGTGTGATATTATTTGCATCACATTCTATTTCCTATGAAATTTTCTGCACTGCACAAACACTCAATGGCTTTCCAGGAAGGACTCTTTCTTTGGGCTAAGTCAGTCCAGTCTGACCCGCTGTCTGTTTGCGGGGTCATCTGAGGACCAGAACTACGACAACAAGCATCACCGCTGCTGCTGTCTGTCTGTCTGTCTGTCTGTCTGCCAGGTGACCCGGGGACAGAAAGTCCTCATGACAGGCCGTGTGTTTGGGTCCAGGTGTGTGTTTGACCGCGCTCTGGTTATTTGAGGACACGGTTTACCTGTTAATCTCTGGATTTATCTGCCCGTAAGTCTGAAGAAAGCAACAAGGGCAAAGGTCTGGAAAACACCACGGCATCGAGGCAACGTTTATAAAAGAAGAACAAGGAAAATGAAAAAAGAATTCTGTTGACGTCCTCAGCGATTGAAGAAAAATAGTTTCAGTATAGAGGGACAAAGCCGCAGAAGGCCGCCGCTAAATAAGCTGCAACGTAATCTGTCTTCACTACTGCTGTTTACTACTGACAGAAACAGATTGTTACTCAAACTATCTGAGAACAGTAAACACTGCAGGAAAATAACGCTTTCGGAAATGCAGTTAATGTATACAGCAATTTCTTATAAAGCAAAAAGTAAATGGTAGATTAATTTACCAGTATAGAAATATTGAAATACAGCAATTCTATGAGAAAGTGTTGCGCAGTAAGAAAACGCTTCCTTACAGAGTAGGGTGGCCATTCGTCCGGCTTTTAAATGCCCCGTCCGGCAGCAGGCGGAGCCCAAGCCGGACACTCGTTTGTCCTCCTTTTGAGAAAATAACTAAAAAGGTCGGCCTTTTGACACATTACCTCGTTAGTTTAATACGTATTGGCTAAAAATGTGTGTCAAAATAAGTAATTTCATTGTTTACATTTTCGTGTAGTGACTTGTCAACACGTGGCTAATTTTAATATTCAAATGAGCCTGATGCGCCGTCAAATCAGGGCTGACGGGGGGCTAGCGGTCGGCGGCTGGGCTGTGTCTCATTTCACAGTGTAAAAGGAAAAACTACTACTGTATCTCACTGCTCATTTTAACAGAAAGGACAGCTCTCACCTCACATGCTCAGTCCTGTTCGTGTTAATTAGCATAACAAATATTATTAGACCTATGTAATCTGAATTGGAAGGGCACGTTGTCATGAGCCGTATCTTGTATATGTTTTATTAGCTATGTGGTATGTGTATGCACCTTTATGTAATCTGGTGGAAAAACATAGTAAAATTTAAAACCGGATCATACCAAACAAATATCTGCTTGCGTGTCCCCGTGCATGCAAAGTGTCCTCCTTTTTGACGTGAAGGAAATGGCCACCCTGTTAGAGAGACAAAACAAACGCCACACTGTGCTGAAAAGCTATGTGGCAACAAGTGATTAGAAGCCGATAGCTGGAGCTTAGCACCTGTATTTCTGAAGACTACGTCCAAGTGCAGATTATCACACACACACAAAGAACTACATGAGCAACACCTCTAAAACTCCTAGGCATCAAGTCCAAAAGTCCAATAAGTCAGACATATGCACAAAGTAAACGACTAAATAAAGATAATCTTGGCCATTCTGGCCCCGACAAGCTGATGTTGTTCTAGCTGAGAGTGTGTGATGTGCAGGGTAAGCTTCTGCGAATCCTCTCTGCCTGCCTTGAAAAGATGAACTGCAGTAATACGAGAAACACTGCACGGGGCCTCTAGAGACTGAGTTTCAGAAAAGCTACGCTCAAACCTTCATAATTGATTGCTTTACTAGCTTGCTGTTATGAAGCTGTACGTGACCTCTGTGACCTCCCAGGAGTTGTTAAAGTAAGGAGAGTTTCCATCATAGCATTATTAGTGTTGGCGTGTGTTTCTGTGTGTAGTATCTGCCCGTGATTGTAACATAGGGGGAAACTCCTGTGCTGGGTCACAGAGGGACATGTGCTTATCAGTGAGACAGCAGTCAGACAAACATGGATTGGGGAACCGACTATTAACGCAGGGGAGCTGGTCACGTCTGTTACACCGAAATATATTAAGCATGCTGAGAATGTTATTGCATCATAATTTAAGAATAAGAACTGGTGCTGCCGAGGGAATACAAGGTGCCTCCTGCTGCAAGAGACGTGGGGGGTCTCATCCAATTGTATTGACTCAAAGAAATATGAAATAAAACTATATGGATCGTCTCTGGATTCAAACGATGAGGGAAACTGTGGGCACGCCGTGTGCAGGAAAGAAAACACAGTAACTGTTGAATAATCACAGGGTG